GATAATATTGTACTTTAAACAGTCATACATATTCTAAAGAACATATGTGGTTTTCGTCACATATTCTTTAGAACATAAGTATATGTCTTTTATTATACTTACCACTCTGTACTCATCATTTATTCCTAAGACCCAAGTTTTTCTCTTGTGTCATTTTCCTTTAGCCTGAAAATCTTCCTTTAGCAGTTCTTGTAATGCAGGTCTACCTGTGACGAACTCTTGTTAGTTTTTTCCTTCTCTGAAGATATCTTTATTTCTCTGTCATTCTTGAAGGACACTTTCTCAGAATGTAGAATCTGGGTAGATACTCCCTGCCCCTTGTGGTATCTTTTGGCCGCTGTGTCTCCGAAGATGATGTCTTCACTATTCCTGTTGTTGTGGCTCATATGTAATGTGTCATGTTTTTCTGGCTGCTTTCAGGATTTTTTTCTTTATCATTGGTTATCAGCAGTTTGACTATGATGTGTCTAGGCCTGGTTCTGTTTGAATTTATCCCATCTAAAGTTCACTGACTTTCTTGAATCTGTACATTTTTGTCACCAAATTTGAGGAGTTTTTGGTCATTGTGTTTCTTCAAATACTTTTTGTCCCAATTTCTCTTGGTTTCGTGGGAATCCAGTTACACATACATCATGCCTTTTGACATTTTTCCGTAAGTTCCTGACTCTGTTCATTTTTATTCATTCTTTTTGTTGTTTATTCATCAGATTAGATAATTTCTATTGATTTGTCTTCAATCTTACTCTTATTTTCTTTTGTCTTACTTGTTCTACTAGGAAGTCCGTCTAGTGACTGTTTTATCTTAGGTATTGTATTTTCCAGTTGTAAAATTTCCGTTTGGTTTATTAAAAAATATTTTCTCTTTTTCTGCTGAGATACTCACCCTTTCATTTATTGCGTGTGTTTTTTTCTTGACCTCCTGGAGCATAGTTAAAATAGCTGCTTTAAGGTCCTTATATGATCATTCCAACATATGGGGTCAGCATAGAGTTGGCATCCATTTTCTGTTGAGATGGATACATTCTCCTGATTCTTTTTATCAGTTAATTTTTGAATGTAATTTGTGAATATAGTAGTCCCTTCTTATCTGTAGGAGATACGTTCAAAGATCCCCAGTGGAATCCTGAAACCATGGATAATACCAAACCTTATGTACACTGGTTTTTTTTCTATATATACACACATATGATAAAGTTTAATTTCTAAATTAGGCACAGTAAGTAACAATAATAACAATAATAAAATAGAATAATTCAAACAGTATACTATAATAAAAGTTAATGTGAATGTGGTCTCTCTCTCTCAAAATATCTTATTGCACTATATCTGCAGTAACTGAAGCCAGGGAAAGCAAAACTGCAGGTAAGATAAGGAGAACTACTGGATTCTCTTGCGTAGATGCTGGCTTATAATTCTCTAGCTGGCGATCTGTTTAGATAGTAGGCTCTGTCTTGCCTTTTGTTGATTGAAACCTCAGTTCCTTTCCAAACCTGTGCTGCTGTTTTGAGTCTGTCTGTACATGCATACTTCAGGGCAGCCTGAGCCTGGTGGGTTCATGTGCAGAACTAGAGGACTTTTCTCTGATTCTCTCCCCTCCAGGATTCTCCCTGTAGCACCTGTCTGCCTGGGCTCCTTTTCTTGTTACCCTGGGTAGAATGCAGCAGGCTTGCCTTAAGGATCTCAATCACATTGCCACCACACTCCACAGGGTCAAAAGGGAATAAGGCAGAGAGGAAACAGGAAACCCATCCCAATAGCAGACCCTCCCAGTTTTGATTCCCTGCACATACAGTCTACCATCTTTTATTCACTCAGAGTTCTTGGGCAGTTGTATTTTATCCAGTTTCTAGTTGTTGTCAGCAGAGGATAGGCCCAAGGGGCTCCCAGTGCCATACCAGAGCCAGACTCTGTTGTTTTTAGAAAAGATGGTTCTCTTCTTGGTTTGTTCTCTCTGATTTGATATGAGAACATGTCATACAGTGTAACTGTTTTCTGTGTTTGTTTAATTTGTTCCCTCTGTCTGGGACTCCCTTGTCAACTCCACTTCTAAAATTGCATGCACCCTTCACAGCCCAAGGGAGTCTGTCTCATTCTGTAGATGTTCCCACCTCCCTTTCCTGAAATGCCAGGCACTTTATTCACACTGGTAGGAGACATTTATGGATTCAGTAATTCATTATTTATTGAAATGTTAATCCAGTAGCCGCTTGTATTTATTGTTATGATTAAAAACAGTGAAAGCTTAAAATCAGTGGCAGCTTTGGGGAATGAGCCAGCACTGTGGTTGGTGTGGGGATGAGGAGCACAGAGCAGTGTGGTAAGAATAGGAAATGGCCAGCGAGGCTTGTATCTTGGGAGTAACAAAAAAAGAGGGAAAAGGAAAAAGAGATGTAAAACATGATGGTTTATCTGCCTACAGTGTTTCCTTTTCCCCTCCCCTCCCCTCTCCTCCCCTCTCCTCCCCTCTCCTCTTCTTTCCTCTCCTTTTTTCCTTTCCTTTTCTTTTCTTTCTTTCCATGCACAGGGTCTTGCTCTGCCACCCAGGCTGGAGTGCAGTGGTGCAGTCATAGCTCACTGCAGCCTCAAACTCCTGAGCTCAGGCGATCCTCCTGAGTAGCTGGAAACACAGGCTCATGCCACCATGCCCAGCTAATTTTTACTTTTTTTTGTAGAGATGAGGTATCACTATGTTGCCCAGGGTGTTCTCAAACTCCCTGGCCATAGTGTTTCTAAGAAATTGGAAATCAGTTCCTGGAAGAATAACAGAAATTTACTTGATTGTTGATCAGGGATGAGCTTTATGTATTAGGGCCCTTTGTCAGTGTTACTAATATTAATGGAAATAAAATTACTTGGACAGAGTCATACATGTAAATTATGATTCAAATAAAAATAATTTTGAAGTTGGGTATGGAGGCACACACCTATTGTTTCAGCTTCTTGGGAGGCTGAGGCAGGAGGATTGCTTGAACCCAGGAATTCAAGGCTGTAGTGTGCTATGATTACATCTGTGAATAACTACTGCACTACAGCCTGGGCAACATAGTGAGTCCTGTTTCTAAAATAATAATTTAATAGCAACCTAGACTTACCTTTTAAATTTTCATGGTTGGGCATGGTGGCTCATACCTGTAATCCCAGCCTTTAGGAGGATTCCTTGAACCCAGGAGTTTGAGACCAGCCTGGCAACATAGCAAGCCCCCGTTTCTACAAAAAAATGTAAAACTTAGTGTGATGCGGTAGCATGCACCTATAACCAACCCCGGCTATTTGGGAGACTGAGGGAAGAGGACTGCGTGAGCTTAGGAGGTCGAGGCTGCAGTGAGCTGTGGTTGCACCACTACGCTCCAACGTGGGCAACAGAGCAAGACCCTGTCTCAAAAAAAGAAATAAATAAATAAAAAGAAAAGAAAATTTTCAGTGATTATAAACTGTTTACTGTTATATATTTATCACCTTAAGTTGGGACATATAAGGAGCAAAATGACTCAACACAGGGTATGTTACCATTCATCAAAAGATAAAATTTAGGCCAGACATGATAGCTCACTCCTATAATCCCAACACTTTGGGAGGCCAAGGCAGGCAAATTGCTTGAACTCAGGAGTTCAGAACCAGCCTGGGCAACACGATGAAACCACGATTCTACAAAAACAAAAAAAACAAAAAAAAAGAATTAGCTGGGCATGGTGGCCTGCGCCAATAGCCCCAGCTACTCAGAAGGCTGAGGTAGGAGGTTGGCTTGAGCCCGGGAGGTGGAGCTTTCAGTGAGTTGAGATCTTAGCACTGCACACCAGCCTGGGTGACAGAGCCATACTCTGTCTTCAAAAAAAAGAAAAGAAAATGGTGAGGTTGAACATTTTATTCTGTGCAACTGGAAGCATTAAGTGATGTATGAAAAGTACTGTTAAAATATCATTGGTGGCCGGGCATGGTGGCTCACTCCTGTAATCCCAGCACTTTGAGAGGCTGAGGCGGGCAGATCATGAGGTCAGGAGTTCAAGACCAGCCTGGCCAAGATGGTGAAACCCCGTCTCTACCAAAAATACCAAAATTAGCTGGGCGTGGTGGCACACACCTGTAATCCCAGCTACTCAGGAAGCTGAGGCAGGAGAATCACTTGAACCCAGGAGGCAGAGGTTGCAGTGAGCTGAGATCGTGCCACTGCACTCCAGCTTGGGTGACAGAGGGAGACTCTGTCTCAAAAAAAAAAATTATATATATATCTCATTGGTGATCTTTAAGGAGTTGGTTTATGAAAATGGAGAGTAAGTCAATACCTAGAGTGTATATTTATGGTTTTAAATGTGAACAAAGGCTGGGCATGGTGCCTCACACCTGTATCCCAGCACTTTGGGAGGCCAAAGCAGGTGGATCACCTGAAGGTCAGGAGTTGGAGAGCAGCCTGGCCAACATGGTGAAACCCCCTCTCTACTAAAAATACAAAAATTATCTGGGTGTGGTGGTGCACGCCTATAATCCTAGCTGCTCAGTAGGCTGAGGCAGGAAAATCGCTTGAACCCGGGAGGTGGAGGTTGCAGTAAGTCGAGATCGTGCCACTGCACTCCAGCCTGGGCAACAGAATGAGACTCCATCTCAGGAAAAAAAAAAAACCAGGTAGGCCGAGCACGGTGGCTCACGCCTGTAATCCCAGCACTTTGGGAGGCTGAGGCGGACGGATCATGAGATCAGGAGATTGAGACCATCCGGCTAACATGGTGAAACCCTGTCTCTACTAAAAATTAGACGGATGTGGTGGCGGGCATCTGTAGTCCCAGCTACTCAGAAGGCTGAGGCAGAAGAATGATGTGAACCTGGGGGGCGGAGCATGCGGTGAGCCTAGATCGCGCCACTGCACTCCAGCCTGGGCGACAGAGTGAAACTCATCTCAAAAAAAGAAACAAACAAACATTTACTAAGGTGTAGAATTTCTGCCTGTTACTGCTACCCAGCAGCTTCCTATTCCTGAGTCTGACATTGTCTCATTTTTCTTTGTGTAGATGTTTCTTTCTCAGCAAAATAGAGGAGAAGCTTACCCCTCTTCCAGAAGATAATAGTATGAATGTGGATGAAGATGGAGACCCCAGTGACAGGATGGACGTGCAAGAGCAGGAAGAAGATATCAGCTCCCTGATCAGGAGCTGCAAGTTTTCCATGAAAATGAAGATGGTAGACAGTGCCCGGAAGCAGGTGGGTACTCATGTCTGTCTTTCCTGCTGTGTCACAGGATTTTGCTAAGTTAGCTTTTCTCTAATTTTAGCTTTTCTTTATAGTCTGAACCTTAAAATAATTGAGTAGGTGTTATTTTTTTTTCTCTCTTTATAAGTAAACTGGGCTGGGTGCAGTGGCTCACGCCTGTAATCTCAGCACTTTGAGAGGCCAAGGCAGGCGGATCACTTGAGCCCAGGAGTTAGAGACCAGCTTGGGCGACAGAGTGAGAACCTGTCTCCAAAAAAAAGGAAACTTCGGCCAGGCACGGTGGCTCAAGCCTGTAATCCCAGCACTTTGGGAGGCCGAGACGGGTGGATCACGAGGTCAGGAGATCGAGACCATCCTGGCTAACACGGTGAAACCCCGTCTCTACTAAAAAATACAAAAAAAACTAGCCGGGCGAGGTGGTGGGCGCCTGTAGCCCCAGCTACTTGGGAGGCTGAGGCCGGAGAATGGCGTGAACCCGGGAGGCGGAGCTTGCAGTGAGCTGAGATCCGACCACTGCACTCCAGCCTGGGCAACAGAGCGAGACTCCATCTCAAAAAAGAAAAAAGGAAACTTCAAGGAGCACTTATTCAAAAGTCTCCAGAAAGCCTCTAGAGTTTATTATATTCCTGTTAGTCATTTCAAAATGAATCCTTACCAGTTAGTTACAAATTATTTTTAGGTTTACTTTGTAGGAATTATCATTTAATACTAGGACCCTTTCTTGATATTAAGTATATACATTGCTTAAAAATTGCATGTAATCTCTTTAAATGTATATAATTTTTAAACATACTACGGAAGCTTGCTATGTTAATGACCCTATATCAATTGCTATTGCAAGGCAAAGGATAATATTCTAGTAGAAATAATATTTCTTTTTTCTAGGTTTAAATGCTCATTTATAGATTTTTCTTTGGATGAGTGTAATATCAAGTAAGAATTTTTATGTTGCAAATAACAGAAAATCCAATTAGAGGCAGGCAGAGCAGGAACTGGGTGAGAGAAGAGCAGGGTGTGGCCAGAAGGAGTGATCTGAACTAAAGGATTTAGTGGTGAGGGAGTTGGGGTCATGGGGAGAGGACCCCAGTGTAGTTAGGAAACTGGCACGATGAGGGGAAAGACATGTTCCCTGCCATTATTACTATCTAGTGAGAGTGGGGGCTTCACACATGATGACAACAGCACTGGTGGGCAAAGAAGAGAGATGTCAGCAAAGCCTGGAGGGCGCAGGGAAGAGACGAGCTTCCACCTTGGACAGGAAGGTGTCTGGGGAAGGGGGATGTGATTTAGGGTAGGCTTTATGGGTATGGAAAGATTTGCGCATGGAGAGGAGAAAGGTATTCCAGGAGTCAGGAGTCACGCACACAGAAACATGAAAGTGAGAAACAGAATGCAGAGTCTTATGCTAGGTTTACAGAGGGTGAGAGACTGCATCCTTGCAGGGTTCAGGAGGCCATTGAAGGTTCCATGCATGCTGGCCTGTTGTAAGCTGTGTGGGAGATTGACAGCTCTGGGGAAAGCAAAGACAGAGAAAGACCAGGAAGCTCCACATTAGGGGAGTGGGGTGGGAGTGAGCAGGGCAAGAGAGGTGCTCTGTAAGGACATCCGCGGTAACAGGAGTGATGAGAGGGTCTGGCTGGGAACAACTCAGATTTCTCTCCTGGGTGGTTGAAAGGGCAGTAATTAGGAAAACCAAAGTCTGATGAAAATGTCTTTTGAAGCTTGAGAGAGAATTAGAGGTGTAGATTTAAGAAGACATTATATAAGCAACTAAAAAATAGGTCAGTTGTATTCAGAATTAAAACTATTGTGCCTACCTGAGAAGCTGAAGAATGTATAAAGACAACTCATGTAATGGGAGAAACTATTTGCAGATCACATATCTGATAAGGGTCTAGTATCCAGAATACATAAAGAATGCTTCACAACTGAACAGTAAAGAATCAACCTAATTAAGAAATGGGCATGAAGTGTTTGAATACACATTTCTCCAAAGAAGATAGGCAAATGGCCAACCAGCTCATGCAGAGATGCTCAGTGTCACTAGGCTTGAGGGAAATGCAAATCAAATCCACAATGAGAGACCGCTTCACACCCACTGTGATGGCTGGAAGCACACACACAGATGACAAACCTTGGAGAAGATGTGGGAAACTGGAAACCTTCTGAACTGCTGGTGGGAATGTAAAATGGTGCATCTGCTGTGGAAAACAGTCTGGCATTTCCTCAAAAAGTTAAACATAGAGGCTGGTCCAAGTGCAGTGGTTTTTACAACTAATGGATCACAACCATTTACCAGATTTCTTTGCTGATTCTCCACTTTTGATGCTTCACTTGACTATACTTTAAAAAAAAAAATGTCAAGGCCGGGCGCTCACGCTTGTAATCCCAGCACTTTGGGGAGGCCGAGACAGGTGGATCACCTGAGGTCAGGGGTTCAAGACCAGCCTGACCGACATGGTGAAACCCTGTCTCTACTAAAAATACAAAAATTAGCCGGACTTGGTGGCACATGTCTGTAATCCCAGCTACTCAGAAGGCTGAGGCAGGAGAATCACTTGAACCCGGGAGATGGAGGTTGCAGAGAGCGAAGATTGTGCCACTGTGCTCCAGCCTGGGTGACAAGAACAAAACTTTGCCTCAAACAAACAAACAAAAACAGTTGAACCTAGAGTTACCTTATGACACAGCAATTACACTCCCAGACCCATGAGAAACAAAAGCTTAAGTTCACATGGAAATTAATACACAAATGTTGACAGGGGCATTATTCAAAATAGCTGGAAGGTGGCAGCAACCCAAATAAGATGTGGCATGTCCAGCCAGGTGCAGTGGCTCAGGCCTGTAATACCAGCACTTTGAAAGGCCGAGGCGGGCGGATCACTTGAAGTCAGAAGTTCGAGACCAGTCTGGCCAACATGGAGAAACTCCGTCTCTACTAAAAATATAAAAATTAGCCGGGCGTGGTGGCACACGCCTGTAATCCCAGGTACTTGGGAGACCGAGGCAGGAAAATTGTTTGAACCCAGGAGGCAGAGGTTGCAGTGAGCTGAGATCACGCCATTGCACTCCAGCCTGGGCAATGAGTGAAACTCCATCTCAAAAAAAAAAAAGAAGTGGCATGTCCGTGCAATGGAGTATTATTCAGCCGTACTCAGCCGTAAAGAGGAAAGAAGAGCTGACAGGTGCTACGACATGCATGAACCTGGAAGACATCATGCTAAGTAAAAGATGCCATCACCACTTGTTTTCTGATACCATTGTTACAAAATGTCTGGTGTAGGCAAATCCATAGAGACAGGAAGGGAATTTACTGTTGCCAGTGGCTGGGTAGTGACTCGGAATAGACAGTGAGTTTCTTTTTGGGGTAATGAAAATGTTCTGGAATTAGGGGTGGTGGTTGCACAACTTTGTAAATATACTCAAAAATACTGAATTGTACCCACCCTGCCCCCACCTTTTTTTGTTTGTTTGTTTTTTTGAGACAGTCTTGCTCTGTTTCCCGGGATGGAGTACACAGCAACTCACTGCAGCCTCAACCTCCCAGGTTCAAGTGATCCTACTACCTTAGTGTCCAGAGTAACTGGGACTACAGGCACGTGCCATGGTGCTGGCTAATTTTTAAAATTTTTTTAGAGGCAGGGTCTCACTATGTTGCCTAGTCTGGTTTCAGACTCCTAGACTCAGGTAATCCTCCCTCCTCGGCCTTCCAAAGTGCTGGGATTACAGGCCTGAGCCACTAAACCTGGCCTGAATTGTACTCTTTAAATATGAATTATACCCCAGTGATACATTTAGAGACATAATTGAAGCTAAAGAAATAGATTTGTTACTCTCCGGTGGATTGTGTCATGCAAAGGGGGAAGCAGGCCAATTTGAAACTTCTGTCACTTGTGTATCATCATACCACCTTCTCTCTTTTTCTATTAATACAGAACAATTTCTCACTTGCCATGAAACTACTGAAGGAGCTGCATAAAGAGTCAAAAACCAGAGACGATTGGCTGGTGAGCTGGGTGCAGAGCTACTGCCGCTTGAGCCACTGCCGGAGCCGATCCCAGGGCTGCTCTGAGCAGGTGCTCACTGTGCTGAAAACAGTCTCTTTGTTGGGTAAGTTGACCGCTTTTATCCACATACATCTTAGAGGGCTATGTTATATTGTCTTGTGTATCTTCTTATTCTTTGTGCTGCATCATCTGACATTTGGGAGGTAAATCTTTGCAGTAATTTTAGTGAATATAGCAAAGTGAGCCAGAGAATGATAGTTTAATTATTTTGAAAACTTTGTTTGCATATAAGATATAAACAAACATGAAAAGCCATTTCAGCCTAGGTGCTGTGGCTCACGCCTGTAATCCCAGCAGTTTGGGTGGCCGAGGTGGGTGGATCATGAGGTCAGGAGATCGAGAACATCCTGGCCAACATGGTGAAACCCCATCTCTACTAAAAAAAAAAAA